ACCTGTCGTGACAGGAGGCGGAGCCTGGGGGGCGGCGGCTGCTCCCTGTCGCGACAGGGGCTCCTSCTTGTCGGCGGGTGTGGGGCTGCCCCGCCGCTGTCGCGACAGGGGCTGTGTGTAGCCAAAGGGTGATGTGGAGCTGCCCACTTTGTCGCGACAGGAGCCCTGTGTATCCAGAGGGTACTGTGGTGACAGGAGCCCCGTCTGGCTGCCCCACGGGYGCCCGGCCGGGCTCGTGCCAACATAGGGGACATAAAGTGTGTGGCGTGAGTTCCCCTCGGCACCGAACCCGGGACCCATCCAGACCCCGAACCGGGGAAGGGTGGAGGAAGCCGGTGGGGCCTCTCCATTCCCAGTGAATTCCCAGCTTCAGTGAATGCGGCACAAGCTGTGCAGAGATCAGCACAGTGACACCACTGACACCAGCACAGCTCGCCAAATACTGYCCCTAAAAGTGCTCTGCAAGCCACTGTTCTGCATCTTTTATGTGTGCATATGCATATACAAAAGCTGATCTGCACCTATATCCTGACTTACATAAGTGCAAGTCCTACATACAGTCCCTGCATCCAYCAGTTACAAGCCACAGTTACAGCATCCATTACAAGCCACCCACAGTACAGTGCTTGATGCATGGAACTATATTCTGATCTGGAAGAAACGGATCTTTTTCTTACCTCAAAACTGATAAAAGGGGTAGGGACAAGGGACAACCAACACAAAAAGTGCCAAGGGATGTGTTGCCCATGGTGCTTTCCAGCAATAGTGTGACTACCCCAAAAGAAACTTGTGTAACAGATAAGGAAAAGCTGACAGCACGTCCACACTTCACAGGACAGTGCTGAACAAAAAATGCTAAGCTAGCTCTGATGACCTAGTTCAGATATGCAAATTACTTATTCCTCTTCTGCACATGTTAATTATATCTTGCCTATCAGCAGGATTAATCAGCATGACCAAATGCTGCTTGAATACCGTTGCGTTGCGTTTGGTACCATTACACAGCATTGTAGATCACTAGACACAACCCATGTTACAGAGGCAGAGTGTCAACATGACAGTTTATGTACAGCTTACTGTATATTTTTTGTCTTGATTTCATATTTTCTTGAAATTGTGTGACTCGTGTGACCAAAACCCCAAAAATGTATGAAATCGCAAGGTGCACGTGCACCATGTGTATCACGTTAATCCTATTATATGCATATGCAATGCTAAAAATTCATAATTCCTCACAATCAATGTTAATGTATGTACAATAATCCTACCTTCTTGAATTAACACATCTCACCAGTGAGCAGCACAGTGTTTCTATGTCTATATTTATCTATCTGCTTTACAGGTTGTTGTCTTCTGGCACATGAAGATGCAGCCTGCATTAAATGCAACGGTTTTGTAAGCATATAAAAGCATGCTYGACAAGCCTGCACTTCATTTTCTTATCATTTTAAAGTATAGTTTTTAGATAGTACAAAAGATGTTAGATGTCTAACAYCAGATGTAAGAGGTTAGAATGTTTTATATACTTTATATTAGTTTCCTTTTTGTGCTGGTTCTTCCAATGGCTTGTGGAAATCTATTTTAAGCATGCCAGAACCATGGCACGTGCAATAAGAACTTGCAGAGTGTACGATAAAGTAGAGGTGGTGTTCTTCAAGTCTAACTTGTTAACAGGTGGAAAGGCTCTTAGGAATTCAAAGGGTAAATGGTTTGCATTGTAGCAAACACCGGGGAACTCTTAGAAGTCTCTAGGAGTCAGTGAGATTCACTAGTTTGGCTACAGTTTAACAATCCCATTTTCCTTCTTTTTTTTCCCTTAGATATAGAGAACAGAGACCTTTCCTCCCATTGTATTGCATCTTTTGAACATTTTAAATGAAACTGAAAATAACTTTTTTTCCCCTGCCGTGTGTGCCGCTACAGGTCAGTGAGTGTGGGGGGAAGAATGACTAAATTGAGGACTGTTCTGCAGATCTTTCTCCTCCAGAGTGTCACTGCAGGAAGCAGCTCTGCATTTCCCTCAGGATCGCTTCCCAACCTTCCCATAAATGTGCAAGACTGATGTTAGTTGACCAGCTGGGATTTCTATGCAGGTGATACCCTCCAAATCATTTTTGACACTTGTGCATTTCGAAAAAAACATTTGCAGATATGATAGCTTGGCCTGGACAGCATAGTGCAGAATGGATAACAAATATCCGTGCAGATACTGCACCAGAATCAGTACTTGGTTATTTTGGCATCATTTGATATCACATAAATGTAGAACTGTAAACTGGAGTAAGTGTTAGTTCCTGTTGCTCTCCAGGAATTCATAAAGTTTCCTAGGAAATTTGTCTTTGTCTCTTAAAGAATATGGTTATCTTGACCTAAATCAGAATGAAGGCATCTCAACTCTTACTAAGCAGCACAAGTCCATGAAAGCTTCCAAGGAGATGAATGCTTCCAGCAGGTGCAGATGACTTTACATACTCCATCTGTAAGGACAGAAAAATAAATAAATAAATAAATAAATTTATTTTGCTGCTACCAAGTGAAGTTGCAGTTTGTTTTTAGAGTGTTACCTTGGAAAGAAACACAACAAAATGGGCTGTCTTTGTCCTTCATGAAAGTCCATTCACATAATGGAAGTACACTATTCATGCATTTGGCCCACTGTCTTTTTTCACTGTAATATATTAGAATAAGAAGCCAACACATCAGGCAACAGCATTAAAACTGTTCCTGCAATGCTTACTAATTGAAGTAAATGGGAATTTGGCTTGCAAGAAGACTGCAGGATGTGGTCCTTCAAATTGCAGTAATATTACTTCATCCGTACTGCTGCAAAACAGATTCACAGCAGCATTGCTGGTCATAATGTGTCTCTTGCTACACAGAAAAAATGTATGTTTTGTAGCTCCAGTTTCACAGAAAGATTAATAGATTTTACTACAGCTAAAGCAACACAGAAGGTCACTACAAAACTACAAAATGTGGGTTTATTGAGCCAATATACCTGAGTCCTGACACGCATTATCCTTCGTATGTCGGGCCCGGATCTCTTTCAGAGGTCATAGACAAAGTCTTACCATTCTGCTTGACTGTGCCAAATTAAGAGGTGATTCTTGCAGATTAGCTAATTGCCTAATGCAACCTAGGCTAAGACCAGGAAACTCATTGCTCCTATGAATGCCAGCTGATTTCACATACAAGGCTTCATGAATGMCAAATGAGGGCATTGCTTCTTCCTCCTACAGTACTATTTTATTCCTCTTAAATTACAGTTATTAAAATGTTTCAGCTACCTGAAATCTACTAAAATGTATTAAAATACCACAGAAGTGCTATATCAAAGTGGAAAGGTTTTAAAACTGCAGTTCTGTGATAGGATAATGCAGTTTAAATATAGCAACTGTTTTTTCCAGTCAGCTTGCTCTTTGATTTCATGGTATTATGTCAAGGGCTTTTTTTCCCTTCTCCCTCTGTAAGAAGCTTATAGCTCAAACAGCAAAATGCTTAAAATATTGAGATGAAGCAGTTATGCAGACCCAGTAGAAAATTCAGCCATTAAATTGAAGTTTGAATTTAGATAGTGATGGACTTTGTTCTTTATCTTTTTTATTCCTAGGCAATGTGTGTTTCTGTATCCTTTATCTACTGGCAGGTAAAATTTGATTGCCACGGAGCCCCGGAGATGGTAAACACAAAGGCTGGGGTGGCAGCCGGGAGATTTCTACAAGTGGATCTCTGTTCCTGCACGGAGAAGCTGCCTGCCGCCTTGACGGTGTAAAAGAGGCAGTGAGTCGGATTCTGATCACACTAGCTGTAACAGATCACTGTTTGGCTCGGTAGGTTTATTTTCCTCTTTTGTTTCCATGTCCTAGTGGTAGTCACCTGGATTCTCACGGAGGACTCCATTAGAATATTTGCCACAATCACCTCTGTCCCCTTGTTTGGAAAAATCTGTCTATCCTAGCAGTGACTTCAACGGGAGATCTAGAAATATAGGAGAGAGCATCAGAACTAAGATCCCTCACATGTTGCTGAAAAAATAACTGTATCCTTATTCGATGTCCAAGTCAATTCTCTTAGAGGGAAATCAGCTTAACTGCTATTTTAAAAAATGTACAATTCTAGAGATAAAGAAGTGATCTGTGCCCCTGAGATTTGAGTCCTGTTCTCATCCTGACCTGAATTTTCCATCTAATTAAGGTCTAATTCTGATTAGTTTTGCAGCCAGCTGTCTTTTTTTTTTTTTTTTTTTTTTT